TTGGGAGAACATTTGCTCAGCTTCCACCAAAGAAAAAACGGCAGTAAAATGAATGAGTTCAACATAAAATAAGAATATATTATGAAAAGTAGTGCCAAAATAGAAAAATCTAAATATTTTTCTTGGGATGGGCTGAAATTAAAGGCTTTGACTTTCACAAAACACCTTCTTCCCTTTTAAAAATGCCAACATGAAAATGTTTCTAATATTCACAGTCAAAGAGTCTCTTCCAGAAAAAATTTCTAAAAGAATAAGATGCATTTGTAACTACTTGTAGGTGCAGCTCCAATTTGAATATTACTCCACAGTAATCACACCTAACCCAAATTTATTTATTTAGTCCAGAGAAAAGAAAAATTCAGCCATAAATAAAACTTAAAAACGAAACAAACATTCAAAATGAGGTATTCCAAGCACCAAAAAAGCTTTGGAAGTTGAAACACAAATGAAAAAATCACTGGTTAGTAGACTAGATCCTGAGTGCACTCACATCACACAAATTCTCACATGTGTTCCTAAAGTAAAATTTGACTCCTGCCTTGCCTTGTACAAAAGTAGGTTTTTATGTTCTTTTGAAACCAAAACTTTTGGCTGCTTCCTTTTTCAGTTTGCACACCTGTCAGCATACACTTTTAAATCAAACTAGGGTTCTCGACTGATTTTACTTTTAAGAATTTAATTTCCCAAGATTATGGCCAGCAGCACTCCCTCAGGAGCCAGGAATACAAACCCCCCCAAGTTCTATGGAATCATTTTAATATTTGGATAACTAATGCAAATGCAAGACAAGCTGCAAGTGAGATCACTCTGAGAAGGACTCAGAGGCACAGCCCTTTGTGCCTAGAACCCAGCAAAGGAAAAAAACCCACAAAATCACAGGTAGCACAAGCAAAATGATTCTCAGGAACACTTAGACAATTTCTTGGGACACACTCGGGATAAACTTTTATAACTAATAAGCTGATAATTAATTTAAGAAGTCAGTGAGTCCTGAAAGCCAGCCCCAGCCTACTAAAATCCACATTTATTCACCTTACACCTGTTCTATGCAACACAATGAACGCTTACAGAATTTTACTGCAGATCTACAAAAAAAGTTTGCTCAATAAAGTCACTGCAGCACACTATCCTTTACAACACACATACTTTGATAAGGGCGAGGTATTTGCTGCTCAGAGCTTGAGATGACTGACAAAGCTCACTTCAGCTAAATTGCCAATTTACAAGTCAATGCAGCAGGATCAGCCCCAGATTTACTCCCCTGGCCTTCTAAACAATTTCTTTGTTAAGAATCGTCTTCTACATTTTCCAAGACTGGCATGACCACCTAGTGATCCTTCCCCCTAGAGTACAAATCAAAGTGCAGATGGCTAAATGGTAAAATAAGAGCATGCCAGGTTTAATTTAGAGAAGAGGGTAGCCCAGGTAAGATGTTTGGGAGGCTGGTAAATCTTCTCACACGGCAGACAAAAGAGGCTGCATATCTTAATGTCGTATCTCAGTGTCTCCACTTACACAATTCTTCAAGAGCATGAAAACTGTGAAGTAACTGGTTATCAGAAGCAATGGTCAGTCCCTGCAAATGCTCAGACAAGCAAAATCCAACTAAAAGTATTATTTATTGTATTTTAAGATAAATATTGTCTCCCAACTCCGGTGTTATTTGTTTGTTTGACAGACGATCTCAGCTGAAATCTAGATCTATAGCTCTTCCTAAAGCTAGTTTTCTGGTGAAGAAAAATCAATAAACAAAAAATGAAGGACTTCTAGGCATCCTGATTAAAGCCTCCTCTTAAAATTCTGCAACATGTGAAAAATACTTAGTAACTATAATGCAACAGTGACAACCCTCAAGTAGAATTCACATTGGACAGGGGACAGCAAAAATGCTTAGTGATACAAGTTATACAGGATACCTTTCCCAACAGTTCATCCACCTTCTGGGGATGCAAAGGGACAAGCGGGAAGGGACATTACACAAACAAAATCTCTCAAAAAGTATATCCAGCAGAATAAAAAGAAAGAATTGTTATTCACACAGTATGTTTTTACTGTACCATGACTAAGTGGGATATTAAGCATTTTCGCTTTTCTAAGATACTGTTTCTTTAATAGTTTAATAATATTATTTTGTATTACAATAATATTAATTTACTAACCATATTATAGTAGAATGTACTCCTACATCTAAGTTCAAAATAAATCATAAGCGTCCCATCAGAGCACAAAACCTGAGGCCTTCTTGGCTAGAGACATTGCTCTGGGATCTTTTAATTCTTTGTTCAACCTAAGTTAGAGAAAACTGTAGCAAGTCCATCCCCCATTTAAGTGGGATGTAATTTACCTGTAAAAGCTTGGTTGGCAGGAGAGTTTGACTGGGATGGCACTTATTCAATACCCAGCTCTCAAAAATACTCTTCAGCCCCTAAGAGTACATCCTGGAAGTGGCTGGAGGGTAAGGGGAGAAGGATTGCTCATCATCTCTTCTGGTAAAAAACCTGCCAATTCCATCAGGAGCCAGCTCAAGCCCAGGGAGGAGACGCTCCTTGGAGCCCTGCAGCTCAGCACAGGAGCTCTGTCACTGTGTTACACTCTGCCTGGCTCCGAGACAAGGATATGAAACAACCCCTGTATCTAAACAGAGCTAAGGACCAACTCCGGCTCAGGGTGCACCGAGTCCAGCAGCTCTGGAGCCCCTGGAGGAGACACAACTCCCCAGCCCTGCCTGCTGTGACCTCCTCTGTGCACCGGCCACAGACACAGAGACCCTGATGCGAGCCCAAGCCTGCCCTGCCGCTCAGCGCTGCCCTGAGGGCCGGCATCTCCTGCTGGATCATGCCGAGCCCGAGACTCCCATCGGTGCCACCTGCACAGCCACGCTGCCAGAGCAGGTGTTTGTCCACGGGAGGCACGGACTGAGCTGAGCTGCCTGGATGAAAACTTTCCTTGCAGAAGGGCAAGAACGTGTCTGGGAGAAAGGGAAGGAGGGAGACCTTTAGGAAAACGCTGAACTAATGAGAAGCACCAGCAAATTGCCAAAATAACAATACAAACGTTTTAACTCTCAAAAACTCGGTATAGAGCAAAAGCACCTAAGGATAAAAATGCTTGCACTTACGCTTCTCTTAAGCAAGTTAACTGAAGTCATCCTGACCAAGTGAGAAATAAACATATAAATTATCAAAATGGTTTCTGATACACCTAAATACCATGTAAAACCTGTCTATGCTTGTACAACAATGCACAGAGAGCTATCTTCTGATTTGCCAAAACACAGCACATTTGAAAAATGGCATACACCCATTCTCTGCAGAACTCATTTTAAACATGGATGCTCATGTAAAAAATATTATCCTGACCTAGCCAGTTAAAATCATAAAAATATTCTTTCCCTGACATAAGCATTCCCAAAAAAGTAATAAAAATGAAAGTTATCGCAACTAAGAAGAAAATGGAGAGTTAAAAGTCAAGAGAGTATTTTAGAGCTTTTTTTCATTCTGTGAAGCCAGATCTCAATCTTTATGCAAAAAATTTCAATTTGATTGCAGGACATTCCTGCAACAGGTAAACTAACATAATCTAAAAATTATCTCTAAATAAATTTAGTAATGTATGTACTTATTTTGATTCATTTAGGTTCTGAAGCATATGGATATAAGTTTAAAAAATATATAGACAAACATACAGAGATTTTTAAAGTACTATTATGAAGTCACAGAATGAACTGATATCATTAACTCACCAAAATAAAAACAAATGACATATTTAGCAGCCAGTACTTTCCCCGTTTGAAAAGTCACCAGCCGACTACTCGGAACTACATTCCTTTTTTAATTACGATGCAATGCATTCACACCAACAACCTGTTCCTCCCCCCTTCCAAACTGGCCAAATACTGGAGCAACAGCAGTGTCTGCCACCCTGTAGCCCAAATTACCTATAAGTTGAACTACTCTCCTGGTTCAGGGACTTTAAAAAAAAAAAAAAAAAAAAGAAAGAAAGAAAATAAGAACAAAATAAAATATTCTAAGCTTGAATTCCTTTCTGGAACGAGTTCAAACACATCCAAAGTAGCTAAGTTTAAATAAAAGAATTTTTGAAGCTTCATGAATGAACCAATTAAGGACAAGCAGAAATGCAGGCCTTAAAAATTTCCCAAATTTTCCACTAGAATAAAACAAAAAAAATCACAATTATATTTAATGAATTTTAACCCCAACATGAGTTTTAAAGGTTGCCATATCTTAAGATAAACGCAGTATTTAAATACAAGACCTCTGACTCAACCTCCACCTTTTAATCTTTGTTTTGAACTCAGACTAGGTTTACATCCTTGCAATGAGGCCCTGTGCACTTTTCCCCAAACTATAACAATGCAATCTCCATTTTGAACAATGCACCTCATTTCCCTCCTTGGAAAGCTACTTTTGTCTTAAAGCCAGTAGATGCTGGATCCAGTTATAGCTCTGACCTCAAAAGCCTGAAAATTCTCCGTGTTTACAGTTTTTTGGTTTTTAAAGCCACTTCAACTTACATGTGCTTCCTTTCCTTTCAACATCAAGTTGTATTTGCAAGCACAAGCCAGCCTTTCCTGTATGTAATTGACAAGACCTCTTTGCAAGTCATGCCTCTCGTTTCCCTTGTTTTTAAATTTAAACTGAATGCTCCACAACACTTTTGACATTGTTTGCAACACGTCCTGGTGGATCGTGCATTTCTGCGGTCACCAGGTACTCCATGAATATTTGCAAAGCATCCCCTGGTTCCAGCAAGTGCCGCCCGCCCTCCCTGCTCCTCTCCGTGCACGCGTTTGTGAGCATCTTCCAATGCTCCCCGCGTCCCCGGGGTTGCCACCAGTGGTTATTTGCATACCCCTCTCCCTGGGAGTGCTCGCGGGCATCCCTCACATCCTCGCACGGGAGTGCGGACCGTATTTGCCAGCCTAGAGGGAGCATGTGGGGTGCCCTCGACTTGTTTGAGTTCGCCCACGGACTCTCTACCTGGGGTGCTGCTGTAGGTGCTGTGGCTCCTGAAGCTGCTCTCAGTGCAATAACTGGCATCGTCTTCATCCTCCATCTCTTCGGGGTAGTCAGAGTCGTCGTCGTCCTCCTCCTCCATTATCTCCTCCTCCTCTTCCTCCTCGGAGTCCTGGTTATCCTCGGGGTCTCCCTCCTCCTCCTCCTCCTCGGACACCATGCTCTCCTCCTCCTCCTCCTCGCTCTCATGATCGTCGTACACCACTTTGCTGATGCTCCTCCTGGACGAGGCAGCCCTGCCTTGGCTGTTGCAGCTGCCTCCTGCGCCTCCTCCTCCCCCTGCTCCTGCCGCCCCGGCCCTGCCCCTGCCCTTACCGCCGCTGCCTCCCCCACCGGGGGTGCTGCCGCCGCCGCCGCCCGCCTTCCTCTTGCCGCCCCCCCTGGGCGAGGCGGCGGCGGCGGGCGACGAGGCCTGGGCAGCGCCGGCTCCCTTCTGCTTGGGCCCCGCCGTCTCCGCCTGGGCCGCGGCCGCCCACCTGCCGCGGCTGCTGCCGCGCTGCCGGGAGCGCAGCCCGCCGATGGGGCCTGCCGGGGCCGGGGCGCTCGCCGGAGCGGCGGCCGCCGCCGGCTGCTGCTGCTTGGGCGGCCTGCCGCGCCGGCCCCGCATCGCTGGGCGCTGGCCGAGGGGGAAGGGAGGGGAAGGGCGGCTCGGGAGGGCGCTCGGAGTCCGGACAGGCGGCTACGGGCAGGCTCCGCGCCCCGCGGAGGGCGCGGGGCCGGGGCGGGGGGGGGGCCGGGCCGAGCGGGCCGCGGCTCAACGCGAATCGCCGGCGCCCCGCTCCGGATCGCCGCCGGCCGCCATCTTGTTCCCCGCCTGCGCCTCGGCCGCTCCGCGCTGACTGGGGGAAGCGGCACCAGGCCCCGAGCGCCTCACGTGACCGCCGCGCCCGCCGCCGCCGCCAGGGGGCGCGCCCGCCGCGGCCGTGAGGGAACCGCCGCGACGGGGCGGCCCCGCGACCCCCGCGCCCGGCACCGACACCAAACCCAGCCGAACCCGCACCCGGCACCGACACCAAACCCAACCGAACCCCCACCCGGCACCGACACCAAACCCAACCGAACCCCCACCCGGCACCGACACCAAACCCAGACCGAACCGGAACCCGGCACCGAACCCGGCACCGACACCAAACCCAGACCGACCACCGACGCCGGATCCGATACCGGTACCGATATCGACCCCAGGCACCGACAACGGCGCTGGCACCGACCCCAACCCGAATCCGAACCCGACACTGACCGCAGGCACCGGCACCGCTCCGCGGCCCTTTGTGCTCCGCTTGCCCCGTTCCCCTCCGCCGGGAGCTGGCGCGCCCCCGCCCCGGCTCGCATCCCGAGCACCGCTCCCTCAGCCGGCCCTGCCCCGGACTCGCTCCCGTCTCTGGGCCCGTGTCGGGCTCTCTCCCACAGCTCGACCCGCGCCCCGAGGGAGGCCCCGGGCCCGTCGGGAGCAGCTCTGAGCGAGTGTGCGCCGGGTCCCGGCCAGGGGCTCCCCACCAGGGCCTTCATTCCCCGCCCAAATCAGAGCCCCGGGTGTCCCCTCAGGAGAGCTTCCCTCCACCATCGGCTTCAAGCAGCTCCTGTGACCACTGACACGCACCTCTGGCCGGGCTTTGACTCCTCGCCCGTTAAACCGCTTTTACAGCTCACCCTTACACAGCCAGCGCCCGTGTAAAGCAAACACCCACCATCACCGTTTTTGCCCATCCACTTTCTCTGTTCTCTGTTTCCACAGTTCTCCACTAGGAAAGAGACGAGCTCTGTCTGCTTTGTACTCCCTCTGGTTGTCTCATTTGCCAGAGCCTACAAAGAGCTAAAACTCATCAAAAACCAGTTGCACAGTTGGGTTTCCAATGCCACCACTTGAATTCAGGGTATCAGTTTCATAAGGAAAAACAGTACAAGCTGAAAGTCAGCCTAAGGCAGACAGACATCTTGTATTTCTTAGAACCAGCCTTCCTTTTCACTGGTAGATTGAGACAGCTTCTGGATTTCAGAGACAGAAGTCTTACCATTAGAAAATCAGTCTGTTAACATGTTAATTTCTTTCAGTCCCTTGCTTATACTTCTGAGCAAGGTAAAACCCAACACTGGTCATGCCACAAACATGGCAGCAACATGTCCAATGTGTAATTTAATTTGCATTCTTCAATAGTAATTTTTGAAGTCCTTTTGTTCATTAACTTGTTGCTCAGGCTGAGCGCCTCATTAAACCTACGAACCTGCCACAGCATCAAGCGTTCAGCCCCATTTGCACTCTTTATCCAGTTTTTTATCTGCAGTTCTTTTATATTCAGTGTTGCAGCTGCACAGGCCCAAAGCCCTGGTCTGAACACAGGATTACACACACAGCAGCAGCCAACATTGCCCAACCCCATTTACACCTTTCTACTCAATTTCTATTCTGAACCTTTCCAAGTTACCTTTAGATTGCTTATGTGGGGCTGATCTTTGCTACCTTTCACAAGGTGGCAGAGGATTGTGGCAACTCTTTAAATACATGAATATACAGACATTTTCCATTATCTCCTTCTGGTACCATGGAAAAAACACCTGTGCATTCTGCCATCTGAGAATCTAACAAAGGTACCTAGTGCACCCTCTGCACCAATCACTTACACTGCAGCATTGTGAGAGCATTAACATCTCCAAAGTACTGTGGATTTTGTGTATTTGTGGTAGATCAAAGGTGCTGAGAATCATGTGCTTCTGAACTGTGAACCAGAGTATCTCGTCTCTTAATCCCATCCCTTATCAGCTGGTGATGTGGAAGTGCTTACTGAATAGGACTTAATAATTTTCATTTTATAAGTGGAGAAATGGGTGCACAGAGAGGTATGTTACCTTCAGGGTCAGGATATAAATTAGTCCTTTCCAAGACACAGCTCAGCAGAGAAATCAACCCCAACCCCAAAACCTGCCCAATCCCCTCAGAGCAGAACATACTGATTTGGAACTTGGAGCTCCTATTTCAAGTTAAATGAGCATAATTATAAGTGCATTGAATACAGCAGGAAGAGGAATTTTTGGGTGGAAGCTCCACCCTACTTCCATCCTTAGGACAGATGGAGAAAAAGCTTCCTTTCACAAGGCGCTTCAGAGAAGATGAATAGACCAGTTGTTCCAAGCTGTTGTCTGGGTGGATTCCTTTCTCCAAGGAAAAAGGAAAGAACTTAACCTACAGCTGGATGGCATTCATAACAAGTGAGCATATGCTCTTGCTTAAATTATTGAGATGCTTTTGTCCAGTCCTTCACTCCAAAGTATTTCAAAACGTGTGTTAGGAATTGTGTTCAGGTGTTCAGCTCCCAAATCAGTTCCAGGTACACGTTTCTAAGACACCGCAGTGTTACTGAGCATCATTACACTAGAGCTCAGCAGTGGACTGGAAGTCAGGTGTAGGAAGGAAGGGCTTACATGACTTTTGCTGAGGTAATTCAATACAGTTCCAATCGTCACTTTATTTAGATGATGAAAACCAAAGTATATCAATATACTGATATGTAGTAAAATGTGGCAAACCCCATCTCAGGGAAGAAATGATGATGTCTGGCTCCAGATCAGAAGGGTGAAGGATACCTTTATTAAAACTATACTATATTACATTAATATACTATTTAAAGAGATACTCTACTATTCTACATACTTATTTATTACTTACCTAACTATCTACAAACTCGTGACCCCCTGCTGAGAGCCTGAGCCACAGCTGGATCCGATTGGTCACTGACCCCAAACAACCTTCACCAAAATCCAACCCAGCAATCACTGCAGGTAAACAATCTCCACACCACATTCCACGTGGGGAGAACAAAGGAGCTGAGATAGATTGTTTCCTCTTCTTCTCTCTGTGCTTCTCCAAGAAATCCTGAGACAGAATTATGTCTCTCTGTCCAGAGAATGTGATGTCACACTGATATGCTGAATTCTACTAATATCCTGTCACATAATTAGTAAAAATAACATATTTGCTGTTCTGAAAAGGTACTGATTATCTTGTCCCCAACAATCCACCTTATACTTGACTCCAGAAAATTCAGCATTATGCTTTTGTCCCATTTTTCCCTATTCCAGATGAACAGTCCCACAGGTATCTTGCTACAAGTCAGCTTAAAGTGAATGCCTCATCAGAAGAATAATTCAACAGATACCTGTAAAATCTTCAACAAATGTTGTCTACATAAAACTTTAGTTCATCACTCTGTATTTCAAAGAGAGTCAAAATCAATCTAAGATATACTTTGACATGCTAGAATTCAAGCAGCATAGGTGACATTAACTAAGTTGAGGTGTTTAGTAGTTGAAAAAGTACTTATAGAAAACATACTGATGTAGGTAAGAATGTTCTTAATTTAAATTCAAGATAAGTTTTCTTGACCAAAACATTGAAAGCAACTACTACCAGTGCCAAGAAGTCCCCTCTATAAATCTTCAGCTGCTACTGCAGGAGTTAATTTTTCAGACTTCTACACACATTTGGTACTGACAGTGTATAAATACAACTAAACATGTCACCTTCCAAAGTGACTCGAGCCTTTTAACTGTGTCTGCAGCTCTATCCAAATTATACAGCCCAAGATATCAAGTTATTCCCCAAGTACTTCTGCCACAACCATCTCGTGTTTAGCCAAGAATCGTGTGATAGTCTAGGAAGTTCTCATGATCACCTATCAAAATTCTACATGAAAATAGAAGCAAACATCCAGCTTCTCATCCAATCAAAAAGAAAGATTTTAATACACAAGGTTCAAACTTACAACTCCCATGTAGCTACAAAGTAACCAGGCTCCTCCTATGTAGAAAACAACTTCTGACAGCCCCAATATGGAGTGCTAATACATCCTTGTCATAAAAGGAATCAACACAATATAAATGTGTTAATGAACTTCAAATTCAAATGATTTCCAGCACTTCAATAGAATAGGTCTGAGATTCTCTCAGGAGGTTCAGTCTTTGTAATTCCCGCAAACTTCCTTCCATCTTGTTGAGTTCTGAGTAGAACCGTACCTGAAAAGAAGAAAACAGAGACATTTATAATAAAATACTTTAATTCTTTTATACATCATCATACTGTGGAACTATCTGTGGTTCTGCACAGCTTAAGATATTTAAACCAAAAATACAGCAGCTTTTGAAATTCAAATGAGACAGAGGCAACTGCAATTCATGCTCAGGAAGGAGCATTCAGAGCAGGACAGACATTATTTGATTCACTATATTATTTGCTGTTGTCGGTCTTCCCCTGTTCTCAACATCCATATTCTGAATCCAACTGAAAATCAAATAATTATCCCAGAAGATGAAACTTACTTGGGCTCTCACAAACCTATGCAGGTTTGAAACCAAGTCCTTTGCTTCTGGAAGCATCGCCATGACAGTGAACTGAGCATCAAGTAACAGGCACATCCAATCCATGATCTGAAGACACACAAGAAAAGTACACTTACACTTCCCAGTCTGGAAATAACACGTTTGGCTTTAAAAGCTGAACTCTGAGACATTAACTTTTAATGCTAAATGCATGGGTTCATATTTTAAGGTATATTTGTGTTTTGATTGTTAAAGTGTTACATTGACTTCATACAGGTTATGTTGATGGACAGCTCTTTGTAGAATGAATGCAGATGTCAGTTGATTTTAGATATTCCCAAGTACTCACAGTTACACACCCCAGAAAGAGAAGGAAGCACGGCTCTTAGAATGAGCTGCTCACCTGATTTATTGTGGGAGAGCGTACTCCAGGAAGAGTGGTGTTAACTTTTTCACTGCACTTCA